AGCCGGACTGTCATCGCATGCCCACCTCATCGATTAAATTCGCCGATTGCGATTTTGCGTTCGCATATCTGATATCGAAATAAAAATCGAAAACATAGCGATCCGATTTTTATTTATTTTTTTTTTTTTTTGCTAAATAATGTAGCAGCGGAGCATCGGTAGCATTTTTTGCTCGAGCCGCGCCGCGCCGCCATTTCGAAGTAGTCCAGGGCCGCATGCATACAGGAGACAATCTAACTGTGTGTTCTATTGTCTCTGGTGCGTATCCTGGTCTCACTCTGATCTCTATTAATAAAATCTGTCTACCATAAAGCATGTCTGCGCTGCTTCGCCATGCCGCGCACGCCAGGTCAATTCTGTGAATTCATGATAAATATATACTTCGCGCCATTGTTGTATTAAGCACAGCCCGATGTTATAAAATGCACATAGTTATCATAGTAGAACACAATACAGTGCAGCTTTACTGTACTTTCACGGCCTCATGTGTTATTTACAATTATTTAATCGAATCGGAGATCGAAATCGGATCGAAAGTATCGACCAGAAAAAAATATCAATATCGAATCGAAATTATTTGATACCACATGACAGTCCTACTTTCTAAGGTAATACCTAGCCCGCCATAATCACCCAGTAACACGCCTCTCCCCATGGTTTAGTGACCTGCACTTCAGATAATCCTTACCTAGAAGTACTCGATTTTTATCGCTTTATATCTCGGCATAGGAACATCGTAGAGACAAGCGGTTGATCTTATCTTGGCTAGCTATGACGCGCCTAGCTTGTACGCTCTGTGGTTAATGGGCTCTTGATAATATCGAGTTTATTCTGGAGTAAGCCGCTTTACTTTTTCACCGCTTCAGATTACGCCAAAGGATTTGGAGGCAAGTATGGGGTGCAGACTGACAGGGTGGATAAGTCGGCCGTCGGCTGGGATCATCAGGAGAAGCTGCAGCAGCACGAGTCCCAGACAGGTGAAGCACTGTTCTGAGGCAATTTTTCTCCTCGTGCGTCCGCTAAACGAAACCGTTTTTCTTCTGTAAGGCTGCCCCAGCTACATCGCTGCACTATATTGATCAGATATGGGCTGAAGCGTTGAAGCTACGTTGAGCCTGGAACGTGAAGTTTTATGTATTTTTTTACAGTCGTGTATGTTGTTTTATAACCTCCCCCCTGAAAAATCATATTTTTAGCTCATCTGACATAGTCAGATGCAGCTTGTAGAATTGCATGAGCGTGCATCCGTGCGTCCGTCCGGCCGTGCGTGCGTCCGTCCGTCAACAGTTGGGCACAAATCTAAACGGCTCGACGTACGGTCATGATTCGGGACGTGGGGGGTAATCCGAAAACGAGTTGGGATGTCGAACTGGGGGGTCAAAGGTCAAAGGTCAAGAGGTGTAAAAGAAGGGGGAACATTCCCTCCTTAAGGATACTCTCCACCTTTTGCACGGGTATTGCTCTAATGAAGATTAAACGTTTATTGGCGAATAAATCGAATCAATCACTTGTTTTATTTATAGAGGAGATATATCTCTATGCTCAAGCCAAAAAATTCCATGAAATTTCCAGCACCTAATTATGTTACCACACAAATTTTGAATTTTCATGTAAAAATGGTATTTTGGATATTTCTCAACTACCAGAAAGAGTGAGGATACAACATTTTCGCCACATGTTAAGCACAATATGGACCAAAATAGTGCGTCAGGATTTTTCTTTAATTTTCATATTTACCGAGAAAACTGGAAAAAAACTGCTTAAAAATCAAGTTGTGTGTTAGAATTGAAAATTTTAGCGAATAAAGAGGCATAACTAATAAAATAC